AGGATTATTTTCCCTGGGGGAAAGTAGCCTCACTGATTCATTATTTTTATTCAACATTGTAGATATAGAAAGAAAGTTTAAAAATATGATGCTACAAAAAACACGCATTTCAGCCAAAGAAAATAAATATCATTTTTGCTATCATTCGAATAGAAATTGGCACATTGTTAAAACTGTGGCTAATGGAAACAACAATTTCCGATATTTGAGAGAGTTTAATTTAAAATTTTTAGCTCCTAAAATAGATGGCAATTTTAAGGAGAAAAAAATAGAAATTTATAAAATTTTCAAAAATTTACTTTTAAAATTAGTCAATGAGCATTTCTGTAGATTTTGTTTAGGAAAAATAAGACAAAGGGGAGAGATGAATATTTTGAGATGTACAAAGACTGGCTGTCGAAAAGAATTTATTTTTATAAAGAAAAGGCCTTTTTTAATTCAAAAAAAATGGTTGAAAAACAATTTTATTTTTATATTTAAACAATTCTAAAATTAAATTAATTTCACTTTTGTCTGATGTTAGTAGACGGATGATACGAAAAGTTTTGAAATCAACAGGTAAATTGTTACCTCAAAATGTTTCTATAGACGGACCAGGTATCATCGTCGAAATAGATGAGTCTAGAATCGGTAAATGAATGTACTATAGAGGACATAGAGTTGGTGGTGTATGGGTGTTAGTAATGGCCGAGAGAATACCTGCTCGGTAGCTTGTATTAATTAAGTTGTCTGATAGAAAGGGGGACACATTGTTGTTTTACATAAAAAAGTTTGTCAAAGAGGAGGGTATTGTATATACAGACTGCTGAAAAAACTATAGCGGTCCTTCGAGAAACGGATACGTGCATTACAATAAATCATAGTGTAAATTTTGTGGATTGTGATACGTTGGTACATACTAATACCATATAAAGTACATATGCGAGTGTAAAATTGAATATTCCTAATAAGATATAGGACAACAACAGATATTTAACCATTTCTAAGATTATTTACGTTTAAGAGAAACAATAGTGTTTTAACATTCGAATTGTTACTAAAAATTTTTTTAAAATAAATATCAATAACACTTTTACTAACTTTGCTTTCTTCCCGCACGGGGTAAAAAATATTAAAAGTTTATACAATAATGTACAACATTATTATACCTCGACAATAAAAAATTAAAAAAAGCAGATTTCATTTGCATCTTTAAACAAAAATAACTTTATTTTTTTTATTTCTATTTTTTTCTTCTTTAAGTTGATTTCCATTTTAAGGGGCTGAAAATTTAGAACTAAACACTTTCAAATACGGGGAATTGTTGTTTCCTTCCTCTAAAACCGTTTTTTAATAAAACAGTTGAGATTTACGAAAATTTATTTGATTTAAACGAGGATGATTAAATGATACAAGAGTATAATAACAAAGGCAAGTTTATTCATAATGAGGGTTTAATTTAAAATGAAGTTTGGTTTGGTTGCATACTATAATTTTATAAGCAATAAAAGCAGTTACTGAGAAAACCCGGTGATTCTTAGTAGTAAAAAGAAATGAAGCCTTTTAAATGTTTAGAAGAAGAACTTTTGATTATTGAATATGCTATTTAGAATTTTTTTATGAGAAGACATTCAAATATCAATTTTGTATCTTACAAATGGTGGAGAAGTTTAAAATACATATTGACAAACAATTTTAAAATAAATTTTAAACAATATTATAAAAAATAGATTTTGTGAAATGCATATCGTAAAAGAAAGTGAAATCGTTAGAGAAGAATATATTTATTCAAACAATTAAAAGAGGGGGTCGAAAATCTATTACAGATTTATTGAAAAAAATAATATAAAAGGAATTCCAAATCAAAATGATTAAGCATTTTAAACCTGTAATTAAACCCTACGAATTGACAATGGCAATCAAAAAATTAGTATTTTATAATTAACTGCCAGAGTTTGCTAGTTATTTGCTATTAAATATTGACAAATTTTTAGAACCTACATGTCAAAGTATACGTTAGTAAGTTAAATTTATAAGATGTGTTTTACTACATAGAAATAGCAAGAAAATTATTACAAATAACTTTTATATTTTAAAATTTTTTATGTATAAATGAAATATTATGTTGATTTTATACAAAAATTTTCGAGCCATTTTAAAAGGTTTATCGATGAGTACGCACGACTATTTAAATGTAGTTGTTCCGCTTGTTAATGACAAAATCGTTATTGAAAACAGCAAAGAATACATAATATTTATTATTTAAGGATTATAGATTGTTGGAAATTATTCTTTCCTTTAAGTCTTCTCTTGTTAAATATCACAACATTGCAATAGTAGTCTTTTGGTTACTATAGACTGTTCTGAAACTAAGTTTTAGAAAATAACATTTAAGAAGAAATTTAATCAATAAACATTTTATCTTTAAACGTCAACATTGAAAATTAAAAATGTGCGAATTTAATAATATGAAGAGATAAACATATAAAGAAAAAATACCTTTCCTGAAGGGTTGATTTTATACAATAGAATTTAATCAAAGATACTATCAAAATAATAATCAGTGCGGTTATTTCCCCCGGGGAAAATAACCCC